AGATTGCACAGGTGAGGGACAGGGAATTCCATGGGAAACAGGGAAGGAATTCCAGGGGAAACAGGGAATGGAGCCTGGGAAAAATGAGGAATGGAGCTTTGGGGGAAAGGGGAAATGCTGCTCTGCTCCTGTTGCGTGGGAGAGGAGATTGCACAGGTGAGGGACAGGGAATTCCATGGGAAACAGGGAAAGAATTCCAGGGGAAACAGGGAATGGAGCCACGGAAAAACAGGGAATGGAGCCTGGGAAAAACAGGGAAATGGAGCTTTTGGTGGAAAGGGGAAATGCTGCTCTGCTCTTCTCCTGCTGTGAGGGAAGTACAGCCGAGTTCAGGAGGGGAGACTGCACAGGTGAGGGGGAAAGAATTCCAGGGGAAAAACAGGGAAAGAATTCCAGGGGAAAATAGGGAAAGAATTCCATGGGAAATAGGGAAATGGAGCCTGGGGGGAAGGAGGAAAGAATTCCATGGAAAGCAGGGAATGGAGCTTTAGGGGAAAGGGGAAATGCTGCTCTGCTCCTGATCCACAGCGAGTACAGCCAGACCTGGGAGCTTCCACAGGTAAGAGGGAGGGAATTCCATGGGAAACAGGGAAAGAATTCCATGGAAAAGAATGAAATGGAATTCCAGGCTGGGGTGGAATTCCCAGAGGAGCTGTGGGTGCCCCTGGATCCCTGGAAGTGCCCAAGGCCAGGTTGGAGCCCCCTGGGACAGTGGAAATTTTCCCTGGGGGTGGCACTGGATGGAATCCAAAATCCCACCCAACTCATCCCAACACTCCCCAAAAATTCTCCTCCAAACACCTGATTTTGAATCCGATTCAACACCCGAATTCCCTGCAGCAATTCCCTTTTTTTTTTTTTTTTTTTTTTTCCCCCAGATACCTGGCCAGGGTGACAGACACAGAAGCCACGGACACGAGGAACCCGAACCTGAACTATGGGATCGTGGTGGATTGTGGCAGCAGCGGCTCCAGGGTGTTTGTGTACTGCTGGCCCCAGCACAACGGCAACCCCAAGGACCTGCTGGACATCCAGCAGATGAGGGACAGCAACAGGAAACCCGTGGTGATGAAAATCAAACCAGGTAGTGGGAAAAAAACGTGGAATTTCATCATGATTTCCTGTCCTAACTGTGCTTCTGCACTCCAGAGAAAAGGATAATTCCTGAGAAAAATCAGCTCCATGTGGGAATTTTTCCATGATTTTCTCTCCTATCTTTGCTTCCTGCACTCCAAAGTTTCTGGATAAAGGATATTTCCAGCATGGAACAGCTCCAGCTTTCTTTGGCATTGGTTTGCAGGGAGTTTAAAACAAGGAATATAAGGATGAAGGTGACACCTGAGCATCCTTTAAACCATAAATAAAACTTGAGCTCCACTAAACTCCCTGCCAACCAATCCCAAAGAAACCTGGAGAAATTCCATGCTGGGAATATCCTTTATCCAAATACTCTGGAGTGCAGGAAGTGCAGTTAGGAGAGGAGAACACAGAGAAATTCCATCATTTTTACAGCAGATTCCCCACTTTGCCTTTGGCTCCTTCATTCCTCTGCTCAGCATTTTCCAGGGGATGCTGCTCCACTCTCCCTTCTCTGTTTTCCCAGGAATTTCAGAGTTTGCCAGCAATCCTGACAAGGTCAGTGATTACATCTCACCCCTGCTGAGCTTTGCTGCCGAGCACGTGCCCCGCTCCAAGCACAAGGAGACTCCTCTG